TAATCAGAGAGCCTATAATTACATTGCTGTTGCTGTTGTCACTGATGCTGACAGAAGCCAGCCCTCCTATCTGCCTGTCCTTCAGTATGACTACACCTCTTTGTCTTGCTGCCCAAAGCCTGTCTCACTGTCAGTCTGCCTCTCTGTCCGTGTTCCTCTCAGTGAACCTGCCTTCCTGTCTGCCTGGCTCTACGTCTGACTGTGTTTCCTGTCTTAAAGCATGTTCTGTGTGTTTCTCCTTAATGGCCATGCACTAAGCAGTGTAATTACTTTGTTTCCTTGCACGCTCCTCTGACACAGACACATACGCTTTTTTGCAAGAATGGACAAAGACCATGGCAGCCTTGGGATGGCAGCTCAACGTGACTTTGTTTTCACAACCTTCTGCGGAAGTCTGCTTCCTGTTGGACTTGTTTGTGCGTCTAACCCATACAGTCTATGGTCTAACCTTGTGTAAATGAGTGTTGTAAAGACCGACCTTATCCTCAGACTTTTACATCTCCTGTTTGCAATTGGCACTTTTTCTGTGCCGAGTCAAACCATGCTAATTTGCGTTTCCTTTACTAGTGTTAGGGCGCCTAGTCCTGCCCGAGATGGACCATCTCCAAGGGGGTTTGTGGTGACGTTTCCCCAACCACAGCCAATCCTTAGCAGTGGCGGTTCTAGACCAATTTGACTGGGGGGGCCAGTTATTTTCTGAGGGGGGCACAATAAATGCAGGACGAAAAAGAGAACTAGACAGTATGAAGTAATTGCGCATAAGAAAACAATGCAATCCAGTTATTGGTATTTGTTTCAGTACACTTATTTATTTCAGATAGATCTTATAGTTATTACTGTTAGCTTCAGCTTAAGTTATAGTGCAATGTTTGCACTAACACCATATTTATATAAAAATAAAGGCAATGAACAGTTACATCTCTACTTTACATAAGGGTGTCTGCACAATCTCACATTACAGCAACAAAATCCTGCGGTTTTTGACAAACCGAGTACCAGAAAATATACATACAAAAAAAAAAAACGTTTCATTGTTAGGGGGGCCACAGGGGGGTCAGAGGTCAGTGTTAGGGGGGCACTGGCCCCCCCTAGATCCGCCCCTGATCCTTAGACAACCCCTTCTTCCCATCAAACAAGCGTGCTAAACTTAACTGGTTCAGAAGATCAGGCAAAGAGAAAGAGGTTTTTAAAAGTGTGTTCAGCTCTCATTACTTTTGTAGCTTCTAACTGAATCTCCGTGATTTGATGTTTAGTTTCTCTCCTGGGTCTCTGCTGTTTGTACTTTTAAGATCTCGAATGTATTTGAATATTTCGCTTTCTGCTGAAGAAGAGTCGTGTTTAGTTAAGGCTGATAAAAACACGGCATTTCCTGATTGTTTTGCTTCTTATTAACGTTTTCTAATTACAACATTACAGGGGATGTTTATTGTGATGGTTTCATAGGAAATTAAATATGTTTATATCATGAAGTTTGCGTAGATTTTTAAGTGGCTATTTTTCACTAAATACATTTGTAAATCATATCAATTATATGTGTTAATGTAACTGCCAATTTACACAATACTTAAAGTCACAAGTATGCACACCTTCTAGCCCAGTTGTAGTGGAGATAAAAAACCCCAGTTAGGAATTGTAAAATGTAAACTTGCAATTCAAGCTGCATCGTTTCCTCAAATAGTTACCCTAAATGTCTATTTTAAAACCAAAGCCAAAACAAAAATATTCTGATAAAAAAAATAGCACATGTTTCCTATTTAATAGATCTTTTAAAACTGTATCCGTCTCTGAGAAGCAAATGAAAAACAGTGAGGCTCTGAAACAAATCTTTCTTAAGTTATAGTTATACATGTAATTTAAAACATAATCATTGGAATAATTACAATGTGTGATGTTCATAATTACTTTAATATTTGTGTCATCATACTCTGTGGGCTGGACAGAACTCACAAGTATAAATGGAACGATACGAAATAAAGTTTTTACAATAAATGTTGCATTTTGATTTCAAAAACATGTTTTTATTGTACTTTGGGAAAATAAATAATTAATTGTCTTATCTAACGCATAAATCCAATTCGTATTAAGTTAAATTCGTTATAATTGCTTTTCTCAGTGTATCAATGAGTTAATTGATCATAATGAAACAATTAAAATGTATAATTATTCTGATTGTGCACTCAACACTCCATAGATCGTACCAATTACTTAAGGTTTTCTATGCTCACAAATAGTGGTGAACAGATGTGGAATTTCTCCCACGGTCTTTAAAGTAAGCATTCGCAACATTTAGATACTCCTAATTTTTGTATTTTATTATATATGTTGGATTGTTGGAGGAGCTCAGGTCAGAAGAATTTCATTGCCATTTCTACACTGTAGATTTGTGCATATGACAATAAAACCTTTGAATCCTGGAACCTGGCTTTAGCAATATTAGTACAGAAGACATATGTTGAACATAATCCTGTAAAATAAGAGCTGCAGGTCTCCATGGTGGTCGGGTCGATTGGTCCTTTGTCTCCTTGTTCAGGAGTCTGTCTGACTTTGCAGTATTCAGCGTGGTGAACTCTGCTTCCTGGTGGCTCAGAGGAGATGTGACACAGTGAGAGGATGTTGCCACTAGCAAGTCAGGATGGCAAAGGTCATCTTCTCCATCACCATCAGTGCTTTAGGACGGGTGACAATTAAGTGACTGTAATTCCCTCATAAACAAGGTCAAAGAGACTGGAGTTAGAGAGTTGGGGAGGGTTGGAGCATGAGTCCGGACCAGAGAAGCAAGGAGGGACGGGAAAAGCTGAGAGATGTAGCAGATAGAGGCTGGGTGAGTGAGGGCGGAGGGGGGGAGTACAAAAAAAAAAAAGAGAGGGAGATTTGAGAGACAGAAGGAAAAGGCAGTATTAATATTCACAGACTCCCAGCGCTTCCTAAATATTTTATTACTTCCAGCTGTTTGATGTTAAGGAGACTCACCAGAGAGCCCCCCACTAACACACGCACAACTCACACTAATAAAAATGGATACATTCACACACACCATCTCAAAGCCGCATCCACAAACCCACATGCAAGTCAACAGCAACAAACAAACTCACACAACCACAAAGTCGCAGTCACATGGACACCGAAACATGGACACCAGCGAACACACACTCATTACACGTACTGTATGTGCACAGCGGGAGACACACTATAAAAACATGCATGTTTACAGCCCCAAAGTAGCACACAGCAAACCGCATGCAGCGTGGATACATACCCGTGCATAACCATAAAACACTGCTTTTGAGAAGAAGTCACTCACTCACGCACAAATCCACGGAGCTGACTGTACATCAATCATAATCTGTCTTTCAGGACTTCTGTCACGATTATTCATTTATTTATTGGCTTATATGTTTATTTGTGTATTCATTATTCGTTGGACTGACTTTCTTTTTATTTGCCAGCTTGGTTCCGAGGGGAGAACGGGAGAACATTCATCTTCTGATGAGAGCAGTCATTAATTCAGAACAGGCCCATCCCTCGCTCTCTCCCTTTGTCAGTCGGTCTCTCTCCCTGTCCATCAGACGCTCTCTCTCGCTGTCTGTCAGCCCATCAGCACAACTTTCTGCCTCAAAAAGAGAGAGCCTCTCCGCTCACTCTCAAGTGATTAAACCTCCATACCTCTTCTGCCCTCTGTCATCACCTTTACTATTTATTAATACACCTTGTTATCCTCTTATCTTTACTGCTGCTCTTACTTGTTCTTTATTTTTCAGATTTATCCACATCAAAAAACCCATCATCCATCAGCTTAGTATGGACGGAGTGTAAAAGTGGACAACTCTTCATACGGACAGACAGAACATATTTTACATAAAACAAAAGAGGCTACATTGGTGGTGATGGTGTGTCACTATAAGTACCGGTTAATATGACATTTGATACATGATAGATGTGATTTTCTCAGGTTTATCAGATGCCAATTGACTGCACAACAGTTGAGATGAAGAATAAGATGGCCGTTTATGAATCCCGAAGGGGAAATTCAGTTTTTTACTCTGTTGAATTCACACAGTGCAAATACAGACATGCATAGAAATACAGATATGCACAAACACGCACATTTCTATCGAGAGGCTACAGAATGAAGATGTTTTCTGACTTCAACCGCCGACCCTTCAGTTCCCAATCCAAGTCCCTATAGAGTCAACTAAGCCACTATAATACCTTGAAGATTTTACAACTCTGGAAAGTTATCACAGAGACATTTTTCATGTTACTAATCTAACAGTGCACTTGCATTAAGGTCCATTTAAGTTTAGGTCCAACGTTTATATACACTTCTAAGGGACATGTATAATGTCGTTTTAGTAGAGTAAATAGTTTTGTTTTGCATCGTCTCATCTTTTAAGGGCAGTCCAAATATTTTTTATGAGGTTATAGGAAGGACTTTGGGAATACCATTCAAGGAGCATATAACACTACGAGCAAGGATTTAGACTTTTTCATAGATTTTGTTCTCCTTCATGTCAACGTTCATGAGTTGGAAATATTACTTTACAAAGTAATATACCAGTGTGTGGCATTACAGTTATTGATTGGGACCCAAATTGCGTTGCTGGATAAGCGGCAGCTGCGACCAGAAGCTTGATAACTTGCTCCATTGGTCGATCCATCCACAAAGATTTCCCCCACCCATAGGCGGCCTCAGGTCTAGCCATAGGAAGCTGAAAGTTGGCATGAGTGTTTCTGTTTGCAGATCATGAACCATGTGCTCACAGTTTTTGCAAATCAAAGAGATATAATATTGTTTTGCCTTTACATTGGTTGCTTTAGAAACCCCAGTGGTCTTGCTGAAATAAACGAGGGGGCCGAATTTTTCCACAACGCGATATCGGTCGGAACATTCCCTCACTGTGAACATACTTGTATAACTTGTATAAAAATCATATTCCCTCTCTCTCTCTTCCCCCTCCAAACCCCCCTCTCCCGATCTGTCTACCCCCCGTGTTCCCAAGCCCGTTAATCAGCAGATTGTTAATGAAGGCCCGAGTTCAAAGACACAGAGAGGGAGAGGAGGCACACAGTGGTAGATGGGGAGGAGTTCTGGACCAACTGTCTGTTTGTCAAAACATGTCCACCCGTCTGTCTTCTCCTCTGATGTGCGCTCCCCGGTGAGGACCACAACACCGCATTTTCTCTTTGGGTTTTCCCTTTCATGTTCCATTAAATGTGAACGAGAAGGAGACAGAGAGACAGCCAGAGAGGGAGATTAATTACATGTTTCAATAATGGAGATTAATTAGTATTATTTAAACATTGACAGTATCAACTAGACGTCAAGCATTTTGCGAGGCACACACTAGACTTCTCCTTTTAATTGGTAAATTCATGTCTCTCCGTGGCAGCCTAAAAGTCATCTCTTCACATCTTTTCCCTCCGTGCACTTTTCCTTTAATATTGTACATCAACTCAGCTGGCATCCAAAATTGTTGCTTTCATGTATATCATTTTTGTGTTTATTCCTACCTTTTATTAAGCTTGCAAAGTTGAATAAACTTCCAGACATTTTAATTGTACTGCTTTTCCAGTACATAGACAAAGCATAGCTTATTATGAACAACTATTTCAAAGTAAAACATGGCCAAGTCAGAAGCACAAAATAGTCAAACCCATCCCCTCCCTTTCCTTCTCCTGATGGATGCCAACTCAACAAATATTAGAAAGAGATCAAATCAATTGTTTGACTGTGTTTCTATACACCGATTGAATGTATATGTATAGATGTGTATGTATGGTCACATGTATGTGTATTGTATGTATATATGTATGTTGATATGTATGCATATGTACATAGACATTTGCTATTTCAAACAACCCCTGTGTACTTTTTCGTTTTTATTTTATTTTGACTAATTTTCTTTGCTATTTCATTTGTCACTTTCGGGTCTCTAAAAATATATGATTTGAAAAACTGTACTTGTATTATAATGTGACCCCAAATAAATAAAGAGATCAAATCAAGCATATGGGCTGTGAGATGTCACACAACCACGAAAACATGCCAGAGCTCTGCAGCCTTGGCCCCAATTTGAGAGGGTGACAGGAAACAGTGAGGGGAGAGATGGCAGAGTTACTGTAGAGAGGCGAGCGTGAGCTCTCAAACCACATCCCAACACCACAGGGCGACTTCACCCTCTTTAACAGCACCATATTTCCCCAAAATGTATCAGACGTAGCACGTGATAGCAAAATGGCAGTGAAATCTCTGATAAATCCAGGGAGCTTTTCTCTTGAGGGAAGGGCTGTCTGCTAAAATCATTTAAAGGGAGTGACGAGAAATTCTATACAAATAACGAGAAGTAAGTAAAAATAACTCCTTCAGATATATCTTAGGGGTTAAACGAAGATTACATGGACAAGAAAGAAAAAGGAACACATTTTTGGTACATAGCGTGATGCACAGTTTCAGTCTTGGTTCTTTGTGAAATAATATAGAGCTCTTCAGGCCTTTAATTAAAATCAAATAAAGGAATCTGAGGAGCTAAAAATCACTCTTTGATGGAATAGCTTTCATTTCTATCTGTGATGTGGGTGCTCAAATAGACATTGGTTAATCTTTAAGTGGTCTCAAAAGACTGCAACATTGAGCAACCATGTATGTGTGCTTTTTCTGCAAAGGTCTGTTACATTCATTTGTTTACATGCCCTGCCACCTCAGAGCTATCAGTTATTGACCTATGGTCTGAGGCGGCATGAAGCTTCACTCCATCTATTCCGAGATACGTAGTTGTGAGGGTTTGAGATGTACACTGAAGTAACAAGATCTCTGGTTGAACTCTCACAAGACGGAGATGGGGGAAGCAGAGAAAAACCAAGCAGCGGGCATCCGCCTCATACTCGGCTCTACAGGGTGCATTTGTGTGCGTGCATGAGTGTGTGCGTTTATGTTGTGGGTGTTTGTGTATCCCTTCTCCAGCAGGACCCCCAGATCAAAACCGCAACCCACCCTCCCTCCCCATTTCTCTCTCTTTCTCCGTCTCTCCACCCCCTCTCTCATTAAAAACTGCAGGCCCTGGCTTCTAATTAAATCCCACTTGAAAAGTCTTAAAGTCAGCCTCAGATTGATTCAATTTGCATTTCTGAACAGAGAACATTGCCTAAAAGGATTAATAAATTGGACGAAAAAAAATTCCTTCTTTCTGCGCCACGCCGTCAGAGCTTGTAAGACAACATCCAAAGAGAAATATCCCCCCTCAACAAACGTCTATCCAACATATGCTCTTGCTCTCTCTCTTGCACGTCCCTCCCAGGATGCCAGCAGAGATGTGGAAGTGTGTGTGTGCGCATGCATGTCCTCGTCTGTGGAACAAGCACATAGTCCTCTGAGGCACAGGCACGCAATCTGACTCTCACTGTGTGTGTGTGTGTGTGTGTGTGTGTGTGTGTGTGTGTGTGTGTGTGTGTGTGTGTGTGTGTGTGTGTGTGTGTGTGTGTGTGTGTGTGTGTGTGTGTGTGTGTGTGTGTGTGTGTGTGTGTGTGTGTGTGTGTGTGTGTGTGTGTGTGTGTGTGTGTGTGTGTGTGTGTGTGTGTGTGTGTGTGTGTGTGTGTGTGTGTGTGTGTGTGTGTGTGTGTGTGTGTGTGTGTGTGTGTGTGTGTGTGTTGTGTGTGTGTGTGTGTGTGTGTGTGTGTGTGTGTGTGTGTGTGTGTGTGTGTGTGTGTGTGTGCCTGTGTGTGTCTGGGTATTTGTGTGTGAGAGGGGCGACTTTGTTGGAGCGTGCCAGAGTGCTGAAAGTGACAAGGAGGCACAGTGGGAAAAGATCCTTGCTGTACTGTATGCATGTGCAAAAACAGACCTCGGCAGTGGAGCCATGCATTTGGCTAGTGGACACCTACAGCAACATGTTTGCAAACCCAAAAACATATCGGCAGCCAGAGCCAGAATCAATTAGTGCGATAAAACGAAATGAGCAAGTCCCTTCAAACAAAGCAAAAGCTGAGACCGTTGCCAGAAAAGAAAAGCAAGCACTAATACAAAGAATTACAATTGGATTGAAACAGAAGGTCCGTCTGGAAATGTACGAGTACAGGCTCTTTGTGCATTTGTGACATAAGAAGAATATTCCTTTGTGACATTTTGTCTGATTATACCTATCAGGTGGATTTGCAAAGAAATATTATAATTTATTTTCCTTATAAGTTCAGTTCTTTATGTTTATGATGTTTTGATCCGATCAGTGGAGATCACTCATGATCCTTCGTTCATAAAAGCGCTTTGCAAGCGTTGCAGAAGAACTGAATGTGTTGCTAATGTTTTTCCTGTATACCCACTGTGAACATTTGAAAAGTATGACTTAGACCAGAGCAGACTGTTGGATGGGAGACATTGTCACTGTTGTTATTTGCTACTCAAACTGGCTTGTATAATGGCTGAATGACTTTAATAGACTGCTGGGAGCTCAGTGGTTGAAGCCGTATTAATAAAAAACTAGAACCACATGGAGGTCCTGACAAACAGACGGGCACACAATGTACAGTAGGCATGGCTCCACTGCACAGCACTTGGTTTGTCTGTAATTACAGCAACACAGGAAGAAACTACAATTTGATTCGTCCTCGGATACATCTAACACATAGAACTGTATGAAAAGGAAACTAAGCCCAAGATGTTTACCTTATAATATTTGATATTTATTGAAAATAAGATCCATATTTAGAATTAACGTCTGAGAGTTTAAAGAGGATCGTGAGGGCAAAATAATAAGTGGTATGGTGCTGTGCTCAGAGGAAAGCACAATATAATCATGATGAAATTAATTCACAGAGAGGAAAGTGGCAGAATGATCTTGCCCTGCTTTGTATAAACCAACACTGACCCCTAGTGATATTAGTTAGGATAACCAGAAAGTGATTTGCATAATGCCTGGATGCATGCAACTGTGAACAACCTTATGTCTCTTAATTTCTCCCTTGAGTGTGTGTCTATACATGTATGTTGTTTTTTTCATTGTTTTTCAAGTGTGTGTGTGTGTGTTCATAGTGCATGCACAGGCCATGCATGTGTGTTTGTTTCTCAACACACAGTCTGTACAATCAAGAGAACACTTAAGTATAGTCTGAGTACAGTGCGATACCATGAGGTGTGTGTGTGTGTGTTTGTGTGTGTTCTAATAATGGTGCCTGGTGGACTGGGGCTTCCTTTGATGCAATGAAGGCTGACAGGCGTGAAACAGGTCCAATCAGGCGCGTGGGCACTGCCAATTAACCCTTTTCACCGTGTGAAACCAAACATAATTGTCTTGGGTGCAGGGGGCCACTGGGCCATGGCCTGCCCAGCGTAGGCTGAAATGGGCATTAGCAGTGCTGCCAGGTGACCATTACACACAATTGAACTGCTGGGGGTTTCTCCAAATCACACAGTTACAGTTGCTACCCAGACGTAATTGGCATGGCATTACTAAATGGCCCCTATTTCTAATTTTCACACCTCCACAATTTATCTGGAGTATTTTTAGACTCATTGTACTGTGCCAGGTTTATTACACTTCTGCAGGCATCTGTATTTTTGTGGTACTTTGCTCCGATTTAGTTCTGCATGGGAGCATGGATGATACAGTGTTTGAGATATTAAATGTCTCTATTTGTAGTGAAGCTGCTATGATTCTGTTAACAATGTTATGATAATATTAACTGGAACAGATAGTGGTTAATAAGTAAAGCTTTGTGTGCACTGATAATCACATTGTATTCATGTTATGCTCAAGGCAAATACCCCACGTTTTTATTCAAACACCAAAAACTAGAGCAGTTTAAATTAAACTAGAGCAGTATTCTGCTGCAATAATAATGTTAACCAAAATTACATTCCTATTTGTCTTGTTTTTATATTCTTGCGATTAATTAATTATCATGACTATTAACATAATGTGATACAAATAAAAACGTTTTATTCATGAGACTTTATTTTAAATTAAAGAGCTGCATAAAAACAATGAAAAATACATTACATTAGCTGCATTATTGCTAGCAATAGCAGTCTCAGCGCCACTTGTTTAGGTTCTTGAACATTTTTGTTTGCGCTATTACATTTGCTGTTCTACGTACAATTTGTGCAATAGCCTTTAACTACGTAACATGTATTCATAAACAGGCCGTAAGCTTTACTTATAATACAAATTAGTAATGTATTATTATATTAGTAATGCCACTCAATTGACAGTTGGTTATACATAGGCCTAATACATAATAACAGTCCTGCGATCAATCCCTCTGTGGCAGCGGGGTGGGGTTAGGGCGCCGGCTGCTGGAGTGAAGGGAGTGGCTCGGCCGGAGGCCAGACAGCTGATCGGAATCAGGTAATCAGTGCCGGAATAAAAGCATGTCGTAACCTGGTTCTGGTCTGTTTTGCAGTAGGCGGGATCCTGGAAGGTGGCAAAAGGACCTGTGAAGGTTGCCACACGGGCAACGTTGGAGACTCGTGGATACTTTTGTTTGGAGCTAATAAACGCCTGTGTTACACGAACCTGCTCTTTCCGTCCATATTTGAACCCTGTGTGAGCGGAGAGGCTCACACCCACCTTCATGATGTTCATGATGTTTACGTATGTGTTATTTATATAAATCTGTATTCACACACAATCAGTGGCCAAACTGCACTGATTGTTAACTAATTGTAACTATCACAAATACAGTCTGCTAATAAATGAGCACAATTTCAATTGGG